AGGATAAGCACTGGCCTGCAAGGTTGGTGTGAACTGCAATATCATCTGTTCAAAATCACCAGCTGCTCCTAGAAAACCCTATACACAGTTGTTATGAGTCAGAACCAACTTGAGGGCATTTAACAACAACTGCCTTTATTTCATTCCAAGTGTTTATGTTAGCCCAAGTTAATGGATCTAAAAAGCTGAAAATGTACCAGTGGGACTCCATAGACAGCAGTTTCACTCTTATTTCACTGTCTGGTCTTCTGGGATTTGCCTTTCCCTGCCATCAAGTAAACACCTGGAGGGCCCAACGGCAGGCCTGTTGCTGTTGTTGAATTTCATCGAGCCAGTTCCAACTCACAGAGACCCTGTATAGGGTTTCCAAGGAACAGCTAGTGGGTTTTCAACTAGCTGTGGCTAGCAGTCCAGTGCTTATCTTGAAGAGCCACAGTGACTCTATATATGGTTTCTGAGACTGAAAATCTGTATGGGAGCAGATAGCCTCTTCTTTCTCCTACAGAGTGGCTGGCTGGTTTGAACCACCAACCTTGTAGTTAGCAGACTAATGCTTATCCAACAGTGCCACCAGGACTCCTCTACTGCCAGTGAGGAGTCTCATAGACTTGTGAAGGAACTGAAAACCTGGAAACAAAAGGTGTAGAGTATTCATGTGACTAGAATCAGTAGCGTAGTGGTTACAAACCGGGCTGCTAACCTCAGGGTCAACAGTTCGAAACTATCAGCTGTTCCGTGGGAAAAGATGAGGCTTTCTGTTCCCGTCAAGATTTACAGCCTCGGAAACCCTGTACAGGGTTTCTGAGTCAGAATCTGACTCCATGGAACATAAGCACCACCAGAGTCAGACAGTGGCTCTTAACTGGAATCAACTGAAATTAATTTCTTTGAGGCTAGAGGTCAAATGAGTTTACTGAATTTGACTCCTCAAGGTCCCACACAGAAGAATCCTTTAGCTCAAAGGCATTTGCCGTTGAACCCTGTCAAGTACTTCGAGGGAAGAGTAGTACTCACAAATCCTACCAGTCTCCCAGAGAGCCACATACCCAAGGCAGCCCAAGGCAGGACCTACATCAAAAAGGAGAGGGTTGTACACCGTAAGTGGGAGCTCAATATGGCCCAGGTGACCGGAGCAATTGTTGAAGTCCTGCACGCAGGTGGAGCACACCTCTTTGGAATCTGCAGGGCCCAAAGCTAAATCGTACAGGCCATTCATGGATGGGTTCCCCAGGCTGTCCAAGTACCGAGGGTTTGTAATGGATTTAACACTTAATTTCCTAAAGGAATAAAGAAGGGAAAAAAAAATTTAAAGACCAAAGAAAATTAAGTTTATCAGCTTTGCTGAAGGTTCTGAACTTTTTTAGCACTTAGAAAACAAAGTCAAGTAATTACTGATTAGCATTTATTTCCTCATGCATACTGTGGAGATTGAGTATTCTGGAACACTTAATTATGCTCAGGAGGAATCTGTACATAGACCAAAAGGCATTTGTTTGAACAGAACAAAGGGACACTGTTGTTGTTGTTAAGTGACATCAAGTTAGTTCCAGCCCTCAGCTACCCTATATGGGGTTTCTGAGGAGTGGCTGGTGAGCTTGAACTGACAACCTTGTGGTTCAAACCAACTTTGTAGTCCAATACATTAACCTACAGCACCACACCACAATTCCAATGGTTTAAAATCAGGAAAGGTATGTGCCAGGGTTGCATTCTTTGACCATACTGATTCAATCTGTATGCTGAAGAAATAATCTGAGAAACTGAATTATAGGAAGAAGAACATGGCACCAGAATTGGAGGAAGACTGATTAACAACCTGCAACATGCAGATGATCAAGTTTGTCATAATCCACACAGTTAAAAGCCTTTGCATACTCAATGAAGCACAGTGTAAGACTACTATTGTAAAAACTAAAGAAAGGGTTTTCATGCTAAAAGAAGCATTCTTTGATGGTTACTAGGGTAGGAGAGAAGGTAGAGTAATTCACTGGCTATCAGCAGTTCAAAATCACCAGCTCTTCCATGAGAGAAAGATGAGGTTTTCTGCTCCTGTAAAGATTTACAGTCTCAGAAACCTTACATAGGGTCGTTATGAACCAGAACCGGAACCGCAACCATGGCGCATAACCAACCAACCAATCAGAGTAGATACATGTTAACTCAGGTGACAAGGAAGGCAATATACAAGACGAAGACTGGCAGAAGAAAGATGAAAACACAAGGATTAAAAGTAAATACTGTTATATATACAACCCTGCAACAGTGTTCTAAGGGTAGATGCATGGACAGATACACACATGAATGGGTATGGGAGGAAGAGTGGGAATATATCCACAAATATACAAAGGTCTGACACAGACTATTTGTACATGGGTATTTACCTTTGCTGCAAACACATTTTTGAACATGATGGAGCATAATGGTTATGTTCCGTGGAGTCGGTTCTGACTCGCAGCAACCCCGTATAGGGTTTCTGAGGCGGACAATCTTTATGGGAACAAAAAACCTCATCTTTCTCTAGAAGAACAGTTGGTAGTTTTGAACTGCTGACTTTGAGGTTAGCAGCTTGATTCTTAACCACTACGCTATCAGAGCTACTTGTGGTGGAGCCTGTTGTTTTTAGGTGCCATCAAGCTGGTACTGACTCATAGCGATCAATGCACAACAGAACGAAACACTGCCTGATCCTGGGACAGCTTCAGAAATGTTGCCATGCTTGGGCCCATTGATGCTGCCACTTTGCCAATCCATCTCGCTGGAGGTCTTCCTCTCTTTTTCTGACCCTCCACCTTACCAAACGTGATATCCTTCTCCAGTGACAGGTCCCTCCTAACAATATGTACAAAGTATGAGTGACGAAGTTTGGCCATCCTGGCCTCCGAGGAGCACTCTGGCTGCACTTCCTCTAACACAGATCTGTTGGTTCTTTTGGCAGCCCATGGCACTTTCAATGTTCTCTAACACCATAACTCAAAAGCATCAATTCGTCTCCAGTCTTTCTTATTCACTGTCCAGCTTTCACATGCATATGAAGTTATTAAAATGACCATGGCTTGGGTCAGGCGCACGTAAGTCTTCAAGCTTACATCTTTGCTTTTCAACACTTTAAAAAGGTCTTGTGCAGCAGATTTGCCTAATGCAATACGTTGTTTTATTTCTTGATTGCTGCTTCCATGAGTGTTGATAGTTGATCCAAAAAGAATGAAGTCCTTGACAACTTCAATCTTTTCTCCGTTGATAAGAATGTTGATTATTGGATCAGTGGTGAGGATTTTTGTTTTCTTTACATTGAGATGCAATCCCTACTGAAGGCTGCAGCATACAGGGGTCAAAATGATGAAAACTTCTTAGACATTACCAAACACCATGAAGCAATAAAAGTTGCTGGACCTAGGTCTTTAGACTCAATGACTCAGTGCCATGGTCAACTGGCATTAAAGTCCACAAAGACACTTGGGTGAGTAGTGACTGGGATGTTAAAAGCTCATGAGCAGTTATCTAAGCCTGAAGATGTTTGTAACCAATCTCAATAAATATTTGCTAAGTAGCAATGTTGGCGTCTCGGTGTGGCGCTGTGGGCTAATGTGTGAAACTGCAACGTCCTGCTCCTTGGAAAACCTATACATGGTTGCTATGGGTTGGAATTGACTGGACAGCACTTCACAACAAGTATCAATGTTATAAATCATTTAAAATGTAGATTTAGTGCAATATTTCCACTGAGACTTTGTTAGGAGTCCTGGTGTGGCACTGTGGGATAATGCACTGGACTGCAAGGTCGTTCGAATTGCAACCTTGGTGGTTCAAATTCACCAGTTGCTCCTCGGAAATCCTATAAAGGGTCGTTATGAGTCGGAATCAACTCAATGGCATTTAACAACAGTTGTTGCTAAGTGCCGTCGAGTTGGTTCCACTGAGAGCATAAGTAAAAAATACTCTCTCGTAGACCTAGTAACTTTTGTAACAGAATAACCTTATGATAATACGGTACTGGTATGCTCAAGATTGTCAATTACTACCGTGATCAAAATGGAGATTGAAGAATGTCCTATATTAAGTGACTAGGAGGAGACTATAGAGGATCTTGAAGGATAATTACTTTACAGAGAAGAGTAAACTATGTGTTCAATTAGATGTAGAAAGGAGGACATTATAGTAACTCCAAAACTCGTGTAATTAATGAGACGATGGATAGATGATCACGCTCCAATTCTAACTTCTACCCAGCAACTCTCACCAGCCCTCCCTTCCCTCTGCCACCCCAACTTTTTCCCCACTTCCACCTGTTTCTAGACATTACAAGCTGGCCCAGAAGTGTTCCCCAAACTACGGATTCCAACAGACCATGCGCCAATCAATCATACACTTAGAGGGTAAGCTAGGCGCAAGATATTCTGGGAATAGTAGTTTAGAGCGCCAACGAGCGGCACGGTTCAGCTAGCTTCCTCCCATAAACTCCTTACTTGAGCTCTTCGGCCGAATACATCCCGAAGGAAATGCCCTGAAGCCGCCGCCAGGGCATGTTCTTGGAGCCCAACATCCTCCTGGTCAGTTACGAGTTCCGACACTCAGAAAGACGTTCCAAATGACAACAACCAAAGTTTCATCTCACTGTTCAGCCTACAACCATGTGATTCAAACTACGCTTGCGCGAGAGAAACGCTAGATAAAATGAGATTTACGTGGACGAGGCCACTTCTACTATGGGGGGGAGAGAAGAAGAATTTCATGACTCTCATTTTCTTGTTTTCTAAATAATCAAAGACATATAAAACGTTAACGTAATCGATATTGAAATTTTATATAAGGAAAATGAAGCTAGTTGAGCTGTTAGCTTTTGTCTTTTAAACCATAAGCCTATAATCTTCTAAATTGTGACTGCTTTCTTTTGGTTACGTCCCAACCAATAGACGAGCTATTCCCGCCTACCTCTTTCCCTCCCTCCCTGATCCTGAAGACGAAGGCGTGACTTCCCCAAATGCTCAGCAAAAAAGCTGAAGATGGCGGCAGTTGGTTGGTTGAGTGGCCGCTGTAGGCTTTTCCTGTCTACTGGTCGGGGGTTAGGTCCGTGTGGATGGGCCTCCAGTTGCAGGTAAGACAAACCTGAGTGGGAAGTTCCACGAAGAAGGCCCAAGATAAACATAGTTATATTTTTCTCATTTTCCCAAAAGTACTGTGGAAAGTGCTGCGACCGAGTGAAATGCGCATGTGCATTCCCAGTAGCCGCGTGAGGCAGAGCACACGTCCTTGAAATAGGGTTCGAGAGGCATACCTAGGGTATACTGGTTATCTGCAGCAATCTAGAGTTAGCATTGCTAGCAAAAGAAGAAGCCTGCTTCTGTGGCTGGTCCTATTCTAGTGCATGTGCCTGTTAAAAACACCCTACATTTTAAAAGTTATCTGAGCTTCGTTTTTAGCTACTCCGGGGAACTCTAAATTGTTCCCAAATTACAAACTAATTCATAAACGCCACTGTTTCTCTGGATATTTGGCTCTCAGAATTAACAGTGAGCCCTCAAAGCATGATTTGAGAATATCCATTCAGATAGAATCCTGGTGTGGCGCTGTAGGAGAAGTAAAAGATCTGTTTGAACATCAGGATCGGTCTTTCAAACTCCTCAGCTGTTCCTCCGAAACGCTGAGTCCCGAACCACCTCGATGGCACTTAATGACAAAAACCCTATTTTCATTTACCTGGAGATGGGCATTTAAAACAGAAAGCCTAGTAAAATTGGTCTGTCTTTTTCCATTTGGATTGTTCAGAGATACTTATAGGTCTGCCTGGTGTGGCACTGTGGGTTAATGCACTGAACTGCGGAGTCGGTTTGAACCTCAAGGTAGGCGGTTCAAACTCACTAGCGGCTCTTCAGAAACCCTATACAGGGTCGCTATGGGTCGGAACCGACTCGACGGCATTTAACAACATCATGATGTTTTTAAGGGTTTTCTCACCCATAGGAAGAGCACCCTGAAATTTTCCTTAATAGCTTTCGAAAATACTGGGTTAAGCTAAATTAATATGAGATGTAAAAGGCACTTGTACTCAGTGCCCTTCAAAGAAGAGAAAGTGTACCACTTGGTACAGGAGAAATTTTAACATTGGCACTCAGCCCTGGTGTGGCGCAAGCACAGGACTGCAAGGTAGTGTCCAACCACAAGGTTGACAGTTCAAACTTAACTAAGTCACTCTGGAAACCTTATACCAGGTAGCTGTGGGTTGGAATCGACTCCACACTTACCAACAACAAAATTTAGCCCTAGCCCTCCTCTTCCCTCATTTTTTCTGGTGCTCCTTTTCCTGTTAGTGCATAGCGTTGACATTTTTCTGTTCATTGTCTTGACGGAGCAGCAACAACTCTTCCTCAGTATCTACCCACAAAACAACACTGTCCTGTGTCCTAAGGACATGAGGAATTTCTTCAGTTGATCGTTTTCTGAAATGTCCTCAGCAAAGAGATATTCAGTATATATCAGCATAAATTACTTGCTTGGTTCAATCCATGGTATTAAAAAATTAGATTTGGTTACTTGGTGAATTTTAGTTTTAGTGCTTTTGGGTTTTTTTTGCAGGTTCTATTCTGGAAGTGCAGCCCTCCCAGAGGTTGAAGGAGCTGATGTCAGAAGTATGTCAAAATCTATTGAAATCCATTTTCAAACCTACACATTGTATTTCTTTTCACTGGGAAATTTTAATTCACTTTGCTTGCTGTTTCACATTAAGGTATTGAAGAAGAAGTAGTCATTCCAAGAAAGAAAACTTGGTGAGTATTCATTGTTCAGTCAACAAATGACTGGGTGCTTATTATGAGGAAAACATAATTTTAAGTCTTGGAGATGAAGATATACAAGTGACAAGGTCCCTCTATCAAGACACTTAAATTCTAGTGAAGAGGGGTAGTCTTTAAATAAATGAATGGTTAATTTTCACTGGATATATTTTTAAACAATTGCCCTACCTCATTTATTCAACATTTGTTAATATACTAGAATTAAAACTGCTTCACAAAAATGATTATAGCAATAAATTATGGGATGCATTTTTTCCCCTTAATAATAGTTTTATTTCTTCTATTTTTTTTTAGTGTTTTATTGTGAATTATATGATAGTTTACATGGGAGAACATTAGTTTTACATTCATTTTATCGTACATCACACCATTGCCATGGTTACAATCCCCTCCACGTATCACCAACCAACCAAAGGGCATACCCTGCAAGCCTACCCCCTACACTGCCCCCCACCACCCTCCCAGTCCTCAGCACACAGTCGCTTTCCCTCTCTGGATCCAGAGCCCCAACTGCTTCATCTTTCCACGCACTGTCGCTGCCTCCATCTCAGGCATCACTGTTTCTCTGGGTAGGGTCCTGCTCTTGGCTCTTCTCCGTTGATGGTCCCAGGGACCTCTGCTCCTAGACTGAAAAGTTAATCACTTCCCTCCTTGCTCTAAAATGTCTACCTTTACATTTCCAACCTTCACAATCAGTCCTGATAACAGTTATTCACTATTGTATCACAAGAGAACCATCTGCATTTCATTTCATCAACTCTGCCTAGGCAGATTGGATGCTACTCACTGGAGATTCTGCCTTCCTCCAAGCCCCGTCTCTAGGTATGGGATGCATTTTACAGGTTAGGGGATTCTTGAGTGGCAGTTTTTTCTTTCAGAGTTTTATATATGCCTCCCCATAGCCTTCTTGCCTGCATGGTTTCTGTTGAGAAACCT